CACACACACACAAAGAACACTAACATTCACTCACACACTACAACACATGCAGACATGTCTCTCACACAGTGTATATGTGTGTGTGTGTGTGTGTGTGTGTGTGTGAGAGAAAGAGTGTGTGTATGATAGAAACAAAGAGAATGTAAGTGTGTATGTGTCTGTATGAGAGAAAATGTGTGTGTGTGTGCGTGAGTGAGAGAGAGAAAGAGAAAGTGTGTGACAGAGTGTGTATATATGAGAGAAAGAGTGTGTGTGTGTATGTGTGTGTGTGTATAGTAATATCACAGAGACGAGTACAAAATCACATCTGACGGAGGGTTAGCGCGGTCATGTGACCTGCTGTACACCACATTCACAGAGTTAACGACACACACACACACACACACACACACACACACACACACACACACACACACACACACACATCCGCCCGTGTCCTCCTGCGAGTCCTGCAGCAGAGAGAGATCTGAAAAACACAACACGACCAGACTCAGACTCTGTATGTGTATGTATGTGTATGTGTGTGTGTGTGTGTGTGTGTGTGAGGGAGGGTGTGTGTGTTTAGCCAGAAGTGTGTGTGTGTGTGTGTGTGTGTGTGTGTGTGTGTGTGTGTGTGTGTGTGTGTGTGTGTGTGTGTGTGTATGACTGTGTGTGTGTGTGTGTGTGTGTGTGTGTGTGTGTGTGTGTGTGTGTGTGTGTGTGTTTGAGAGCTCACCATGGCCTCCAGATCTGACACACTGGACGGGGCAAAGATGGTCTGAACCATGAACTTGTGTTTGCTCTTCTCATTGGGGTCGTAATCGAACGGCTGCAGCATAACTGAGGAGGAGCAGGACAACATCAGCACTGGACACACACACACACACACACACACACACACACACACACACACACACACACACACACACACACACACACACACACACACACACACACATATATATATGCGCAAACACACACTGAGGGACTGACCGGAGATGGTGACGGTGGCCCCGGGGTCGATGATGCCGCTGTTGGGCCGCACGCAGTACCGGCGCGGGGCGGTGGTCTTGACTTTGAAGCATACTCTTCTGTCGGACGGGTTCCTCAGCTTCAGGTTAGTGGTCACCACATCTGTGAAGGGTCCTGCGCACACAGCACACACACAACATCAGGCTCATGTACACAACACACACACACGCCATCTACACTGGGTCAGCATCTATAGCTGGAGCAGCAGCTGTAATGAAGCTCTGTGCTCGGCTCACATGTCATTCATTAATAATGCGCAAACACACAAGCCTCTTTCCTTCCCTCACACACACACACACACACACACACACACACACACACACACACACACACTTCCTGACTCACAGCTGATCATAAACACTGCTCACACACACTCTGCTGATGGTGGTGGTGGTGTCAGGGGTCACTCTAAACCGCTGTCAGTCAGTCAACAGCACAGAGATGATCAATACAGTGTGATGATGAGCACTACAGCGCGCACACTACTGAGTGAGCGATTTACACAACACAACACCGCTAATGCGCGTTTCTCCAGGCGGCCTGTAAATCCCCGGGACTCGCTTTAAAACGCAGCCCAGGTGGTGTAGAGGCAGGCGGGCTCTCTCTCAGCCCTGCCCCGGGGGCTCCGCTGGTCTTCCCCGGCCCCCAATGCAGGCTCTTACCTCTGAAGCGGAGGTCGTTCGACGGCTCGAGGATCAGGATCTGCTCCAGTTTGGACATGACCGCCGTTAACGGGACACACACTCGTGCTGCTCAAAGCCCCGGCCACGACGAGCGCGCTCTCGCGATCACACACACACCCGCGCAGCGCGGGCACCGGCGGCAGGAGGCGCGCACGGCGGTACACGTCACTCAGAGGAGCAGCTGTGAACCGGCTGGTGTTTCGGTGTCCTGATGCTGCGGTGTTAATTGAACATTTAATGCGTTAAAAACACGCAGGCGGGACCGTAAATCGCCTCGTCGGAGTCGCGTCAGCAGGAATGCGTCAGTGCGCATGCGCGGTGACTGATGACCCTTCAGGGTACACGTCACTCTACAGAAAACACAGAACTGGTTCAACTGGTCACGTGTGTGTTTAGGATATGTATTTAGTCGTTTTTGAGAAATCTAAAATATAATAAAATGATTTATCGACCATAATAATAATTCCCCTAAGAGTATAATGCATTTTACAGACAGCACTCGCATGATACTGACATTATTGCGGATTTGAGTGCATTCAACTTGTTGTTCTTAGTTGAAATACTCATAATTTGTACTGAATCATGTTTAAATAAATAAATAAATATAAAGACAAAGCTTGAAAAGAAAGCATATGTTGTCCTAACCCTGTCGATATGTGTATTTCTGCTGCCTTTATTCTCAGTAATACCGCCAAACACGAGCGCCACCGCAGTGTGTTACTATATTCATAATGTATATATTTCTTCAGTATTCTGAGTGTAATATTATCATAAATCAATCAAATTTACGCTTTTGCCTATTTTATTAATGTGTGATCTTTCATAAATGATCATCTGAATATATGTCAGCTCTTATAATAGCATGTAGAGCAACACACTGGACACATTTGTCTTCATTTTACATACAAATATATTTAAACCCAGACACTATCGATCGCGCAGGTTCAGTGGCGGTCACTGCGCATGCGCTCCGTCTTGCGTGCGCGTTCTAGAAGCTGCCGTCTGCGCGTGCGCGATAAAGGATCAGTGCGCGGGCCCGCGGCTGTGCTCGAGGAGTTGAGAGGCGCGTGTTTGTGTGTTTTTGTGTAGTTTTGTGTAGTTTGTTGGTCATCAGCACAGAAGCGGCTTAAATGTAGGAGCGGCGCAACATGGCGGGTGTGTAGAAACACACACACACACACACACACACACACACACACACACACTTCTGGCTAAACACACACACCCTCCCTCACACACACACACACATACACACACATACACATACAGAGTCTGAGTCTGGTCGTGTTGTGTTTTTCAGATCTCTCTCTGCTGCAGGACTCGCAGGAGGACACGGGCGGATGTGAGTTCGTGTGTGTGTGTGTGTGTGTGTGTGTGTGTGTGTGTGTGTGTGTGTGTGTGTGTGTGTGTGTGTGTGTGTGTGTGTGTGTGTCGTTAACTCTGTGAATGTGGTGTACAGCAGGTCACATGACCGCGCTAACCCTCCGTCAGATGTGATTTTGTACTCGTCTCTGTGATATTACTATACACACACACACATACACACACACACTCTTTCTCTCATATATACACACTCTGTCACACACTTTCTCTTTCTCTCTCTCACTCACGCACACACACACACATTTTCTCTCATACAGACACATACACACTTACATTCTCTTTGTTTCTATCATACACACACTCTTTCTCTCACACACACACACACACACACACACACATATACACTGTGTGAGAGACATGTCTGCATGTGTTGTAGT